CGCTATTTGGGGGTCGGGTGCCGTCGTCGTCGTCGTCGTCGTCGTCGTCGTCGTCGTCGTCGTCGTCGTCGTCGTCGTCGTCGTCGTCGTCGTCTTCCGCCTTCCTCCTCTCCTCTTGCCTCCCTCGCCTGGTTGCTTCCCCTGTTTTCTGTCTCTTCTTCCCCTCCCCGCCCTCTCTCCCTCCGTCCTTGCTTTCCTCCCTCCCTTCCTTCCTCCTTCCTTTCCCTCGTCCGTTCCCTTCCCCTCCCTCCCCCTCCCCTTCCGCGCGGGGGCGGGTGGCACTTGGTTGAGGAACAGGTAGGGGCGCGACTTCTACGTGGCCCCCCAGAAGGCCGTGGTGACCGACAGCGCGGTCTGCCGGCTAGCCCTTAGGGCACCCAAACTGCCCGCGCATTCGCGAGAGCGCGCCCAAGGGGGACTGGGCTGAGCAGAGGGCACTTGCTGAGCCGCCGACCACCGCCCCGACGCATGCGCAGCCGGGCCACTCGGCGTTGGGCTGCGCGCAGCATTCGCTGCCGTTCGGGGGGGAACATGCCAGGACCTGTTTTGCCCGGCGCAGGCCGAACTCCCCATTCGGGGTTTCCAGAACCATAACCATAACCAGGAGGAGGATGGGGGGGGAGGAGGAGGAGGAGGAGAAGGACGATGGGGGGGAGCAAGGAGCAGGAGGGGAGCGGGGCTGACGGCGTTCCTGTAGTCAGTCGTGGCCATGACATTGTGACAACCCTCGTTTCTGCCTCCCTCCCCAAGAGCAAGAGGAGGCGGGGGATGCGTCAGAGCGCCTTGAACAGCGAGCGATGCAGGCAGGACCCATATGCGTGTCTGATACCTCAAAGGCCTTGCCATTGGTTCCGCTGACCTTGAGAAATTATCGACCTGGGCGCAAAAGGCGGATCAGCTGCCGCTGCGCCTGGGGCGTGTTCTACAACACTTGGGAATATTTTTGGGGATCTTTGGGCCTTCGTGGGGGGCCCCTGGGGGCCTCTGTGGTCCTCTTGGGTGCGTCTTGGGGCCTTTTTGGGCTTCCTGGGGGTTTTGGAGTCACGTCGGGGGGGTTGGCTTCCAGTGGTGCGACAGTGGTTGGCTTTTTGGGCCCCTGTTGTGGTCATCTCGGTGGCCTCTTGGCCCCTCTCGGGGGCGTCTTGGGCCATCTGGGATTGGTTTGGGAGTGCTCTTGGGCCGTCCTGGACGCTCCTGCGGCCGATGCTAGGATAATGCTCATATCACGCAGGAACCAAGGTCTTCCGCCGGAGTTTGTCTTCTTGGGCCGGCTACCTGGATCATCAGAGCGCCCCGCGAGACTTTCCGGATTCGACATGCAAAAGTATAGGTGTAAGCCGATGAGACCGAGAGGTATCACCACTGCGGCATGATTTCGTTTGCCTGTGTAGCCGGTGCTTCGTGCAACGTGCTGCCCACGCGTTCAGCTCCGTTCCTCCTTTCGTGGTCGACGTCCGAAAACATGTGATGCGTACGTCGATGCGCGCGTCGTTGATGCGAGGATCGTTTTCCGTGCTTCGCATGCCGCGTAGGGTTTTTAGGAAATTATTCGACATGCGCCAGGTGGGGCTCGTGGGAAAGCACCCCTGGATGTTGCTCTTGTGCCGGGGGGCTACCGCGCTCGGCTGTTTCTCCGTTTGTCGATGGCCGTCCGAGCGGAACCAGCTTCAACAAACAAATCCTTTTGGTCTTCTCTCCCCAGCCCCCCTTGCACGAGCGGTTCAAAATTCGAGCCTGCAGGATCGAACGTCGCGGTTTTTTGGCCTTCGGGGGCTCCCATCGTCGCCGCAGCTGGACGCAGCTCGAAAAACTGGTGCGTTCGGTCCCTGGGACGGGTCAGGGTAATTTTTGGCCGGCGAACAAATTACCATTCAGGCAGACATTTTCTTGCTCTGGTACGAGGATTCATGTGTTACATTTTGCAGAACCGTACGTACCGATACGGAGCGACAGGTGATCTTCATCGTTTCGGCGTGCGGACGGGCCTGGAGGCTCGAGGGAGGAGGTTTCGGGGAACCTGGGGCTTAGGGGAGGGGTGCTCGAGGCGCCTAGGGACCTTGCGACTCCAATTGGAGCTTTCTTGGGCCACCAGGGGGCTTCCTGGTTCACTCGAGGCCATTGTGGGCTGTCTTCAAGGCCGTCCAGGGCCGTCTTGGAGGCATCCCGGGCCATCTTGCTGTGGCAGATGCGGACCCGTAGTATGTTAGAGCGGTTCCATGGCTTTCTGAGAGGGACAGGGCCGTCGGGGGGGGGGGTATGCAGGGCGGCGTGCTGCTCGGCGGTGGGTGGGTGAGTGGGGGGCGGCTGCTGGAAGAATGCAGAAAGCGTTTTAAAAAACAGTTGAATGGCGTTTTATCGCGCTGGTTCGGCGCAGGCACGGCGGCGGATATCAGGGTGCGGACACAGTGTGTCGCACGCAAGGGGGTCGTTCAGGAGATCGCCGCCCTTTTGCCAGAGAGCGGTCGAAATCCTTGGCGACGTTCGGCCAACGTCTTTCCCGAGCCTTTCGGCTTATTTTCAAACCTGCTACGTGTAAATGTCAGAGGCCTGGTGTCCTTAGAGCTCCGGGAGCGCTGAGTTTGGGCCCGAGAGTGTTCCGTCGAGCCCAGGTGGCCTGAGGAGAGTCAGCCTGGCCCCAAGATCGCCCGACTCATTCCAGAAAGGTGGGATAGGGGGCTGCGGGGCTGGCGGGGTCCAGAGAGTCGCGCCCCTTCTGGGGCCCGGCGCTGGGCTCCCCCCTGGGGCCCCCTGCCCGTAGGACCCCCCCCCCCCTTGGCGGGGAAATGGTCAGAGGGAAGGCTTCGGCTCGGTGGCGGCTCGGGTCGATCCAGGTCGGGTTGGCGAGCCTGGAGAGTTCCAGGTGGGCGCAGCGAAAGGGAGGGAGAGCTCCGAACGGAGAAGCGTCTCCCAGGACCACTCCTGGGCGACCCGCTCAAAGTGGGACCCGTGCGCCTCTTTGCCATTCCAGCGCGGGGGGGAAGCCGCGCGACCGCACGGGCAGAAGAGCTCCCGGCAACGGGCTGCGTGCGGACGCCCTCGTTGCTGCATGGTACAGCGCGCGCGCGCTCCGAGGATCGAGGATCGCAGGACTCAGGATTGAGGATCGAGGATGGAGGATCAGGGAACGCATGTGCAGGACCGAGGAGCGAGGAGCGAAGGTCCATCCTCGTCGATCCTCGCCAGTGGGGCCGTTGAAGCTCACATCCGCCAGCCGATGCACACCCCCAGATGCAGGTCAGCCGCCGAGGGCCGGAGCGTCGGACGCTGGACGTGCTGCGCCGTTCCTGCCTCGACAGCGGCAGCGGAGGGTACAGTCGGGGCGCTGAAGAAGGAACCCAGGCGGGGATAGGCCCCGCGAAACCCGAACGGAACAGCATATGTCCCCACCTAGAGATGTCGTCCAGTGGGGCTAAGGCCATGCCAGTGGGGACAGGGATCTATTTGACGATGCTCAGAAAAGAAGGGGCAAGGCGGCCGTCGGTGGCCAGGTCTCGCAGCAGAGCGACCATGCTTTCCGCCCCTGCGCTGCCGCCAATGTAACCAGTCAGTGAACGAAGACTTTGGTTTCAAGAGGAAAGGGGGATGCACCAGGAAACATCACATGCACATATATACACACATATATATATATATATTAAATTGATGTTCAACTGAGCGCTTGACATGCAACGCAAGCGCAAACGACCACTCGGTAAGAGAACTCGCTCTCCAAGTGGTCCGAAGAAAGGATGAATGGGCGACCCAACCACGCCCTTCAGAAAGTCAACGTCCAAGTCATTGCTAAAGCGAGCGAGCGCAATCTGATATATTGTGCCCAATCGTTAGCTCGAAGAAAACGAAATCATCGATTGTGGGCCGCGCTACGTCAAGCATATCTGCACAGACGCAATCAGTTCAGTCGTTTGAAGCTCACCTTTAAGGAAGCAATGTCCCGCTCGCACGCGCGCCCGCACGCATGCACACGCACGCGCCCACGCCCCACGCACGCACTCACGCGCGCATGCGCGCAGATACTGAGCCGTGACTTGTCTACTCCAGGATACTACGCCGGCCAGTATTGGAGTGCTTTGTTCTGGCCGCAGAAATCATTGCATCTGTAGGACGTGGTATTGCAATGCCACTTTGGGCCAGTGCCCAGTTTGCCACTCGACGTGGCAGGTGGCGGGCACACCCCGCGCTTGTGCGTTCTTCAAATCAGGCTAGCGTCTTGCAGTCCTTGCAGCTCAGCGAAGGGTAAACCACGACTTCATGCCTCGGTTTACAAAGGTAGCGTGCGTCATCTTCATCGACTCTAATCGTCTGATTGGGGATGCAGGGAGGAGGAGAAGGAGGAGGAGGAGGAGGAGGAGGAGGAGGAGGAGAAGGAGAAGGAGAGGAGGAGGAGGAGGAGGAGGAGGAGGAGGAGGAGGGAGGAGGAGGAGGAGGAGGAGGAGGGAGAGGAGGAGGAGGAGGGGAGGAGGAGGGAGGAGGAGGAGGAGGAGAGGAGGAGGAGGAGGAGGAGGAGGAGGAGGAGGAGGAGGAGGAGGAGGAGGAGGAGGAGGAGGAGGAGGAGGAGGAGGAGGAGGAGGAGGAGGAGGAGGGAGGAGGAGGAGGAGGAGGAGGAGGAGGAGGAGGAGGAGGAGGAGGCGTTGCTGTCAACTTTGGGCGCCTTTGCCGGTGGCTCGGCTCGCACATACCTACTGTCTAGTCTGTTTGAGCCAATCAGAAAAGTAAGTATCTCTGTCTCTCTCTCTCTCGTCCTCTTTCTCTTTCTCTTTCTCTCTCTCTTTCTCCCTCTCTCTTTCCCTCCCTCCCTATCTTTCTATTCCTCCCTATCTCTCTCTCTATCTGTTCGAATTCTCCGTCTTTTTCCATCTCCCTTTCCCCATCCGCTTCCGGGTTCCTCTGTTGTGTAGTTGGTCCGCCCTCCATTCTTTTCAATGCCTTCCTTCCCCTCCGCTTCTCGAGTAGGTGGGCCTTCCTTTCTTTTTGCTTCCCTGGCCCCTCCGCGCCTCTTCCAG